ATCACCTGATGGCAAACAGCCGGTGTCGCTCATGGACATCCGGAATACCGGAGGCGCCACAAGCGCGTTGCTGGCCTTCTAGGGCCTGGAAATTTGAGGACTGTTGGGGATTCAGGGATTGGAGGGGAGGGTGTCGTAATTGGGACTCCGGCAACCTCACTCACGCGACGAAACACAACCTAAGCGTTGTTTCACGTCAGTTTTCTGTGAGGCAGTGGTATCACTCCGGTCGAGCCGACCCATTCGTGCCAAAACATGGCTCTCCCATTCATTTAGTTGATTACCACAAATTACGTTACATATGGTTAGTTGATTCTTAATAATGTAGATAGGTACTGGACAAAGATTGGTACCTACTCAATCAATTTTGCTTAAACTGTCAAACACCACGCGGTCACCGGTGACCGCAACCTATGTTCTTTAATTGTGTCTATAATGACGGTAGGTACTCAACGAGTTAAAATGGCATTTGAATCAAATAGGTTACGCTTTAGTTTACACTGGACATCTGAAAAACGATATAGGGTATTGCCAGGGTAAGAAAATTATCAATGTAATTGGTCCACATGTTAAGTAATGAAAAATAGACGTCTGTTAAGAAATATGATAAGACACGTATTTTTCTATTTTCTCGTTTATATTTACAATACTTAGATAAAATAGAGGGATGGTATATAAATAGTGAAAAGTGGGTGTCACATTGTACATTGCAAAGTGCCGTAATGTGCACCTCTGCCTACCCCTTCGGGGATAAAAAGAAGTGACGTTACGTTAATTTTGATAATATTGTGTCTTGCTGCGCATTATGGGAATAATAGCTAGCACATTATAGAAACGGGCTGCTCAAGACATGCGTGAGAATACTAGGTTATAAGAACTCTGTGCGGTTTCACTGCAACACACATACTTTTCTATCTATTAATGTATGTATGTATGTATGTACGTATGTATATGACGTGCATATGTAGGTAGGTACTCCACCATGAAAATTTACCAGGCAATCAGTAGTTACACGAAGTTATTCCGTGTTCTGCAGATACTTGCAGTCAGTCGTAAACGTGATGTGGTTTGACTATTTTTTCTTTAAGGCAAAACGCAATGATTGTACGTAGGTAATGTTCAATGATTGAAGCAGTTAGATACTTACATAGTTATGCGAAATCTATATATATAAAATTCAAAGGTGATTGACTGACTGACTGATTGACTGACTGACATAGTGATCTATCAACGCACAGCCCAAACCGCTGGACAGATTGGGCTAAAATTTGGCATACAGATAGATGTTATGACGTAGGCATTCGCTAAGAAAGGATTTTGATAATTTCCACCCCCAAGGGGGTAAAAAAGGGGATGAAAGTTTGTATGAAACTTTGTCAGTTTTTAACCGATCGGGTTGTAATTTGGCATGCAAATAGATGTTATGACGTAAGCATCCGATGCGAAAGGATTTTGATAATTTCCACCCCCAATGGGGGTAAAATAGGGGATGAAAGTTTGTATGAGACTTTGTCAGTTTTAAACCGATCGGGTTGTAATTTGGCATGCAGATAGATGTTATGACGTAAGCATCCGATATGAAAGGATTTTGATAATTTCCACCCCCAAGTGGGTAAAATAGGGGATGAAAGTTTATATGAGCCTTTGTCAGTTTTAAACCGATCGGGTTGTAATTTGGCATGCAGATAGATGTTACGACGTAGGCGTCCGCTGTGAAAGGATTTTGATAATTTCCACCCCCAAGTGGGTAAAATAGGGGATGAAAGTTTATATGAGCCTTTGTCAGTTTTAAACCGATCAGGTTGAAATTTGGCATGCAGATAGATGTTATGACGTAAGCATCCGCTTTGAAAGGATTTTGATAATTTCCACCAAGGGGGTAAAATAGGGGATGAACGTTTGTGTGAGGCTTTGTCAGTTTTACACCGATCGGGTTGAAATTCGGCGTGCAGATGGATATTATGACGTAAACGTCCCTTTAGAAAGGTTTTTGAACATTCTCACCCCAAAGTATGATACTTTGCCAGTTTTAAATTGATCGGGCTGAGACTTTGCATGCATAAAGTTACTATGACATAGGTATCTCTTTAGAAAGGATTTTGATAAATTCCACCCCTAAGGGGATAAAATAGGGAATGAGAGTTTGTATAAATCTTCTTAGCCGTTGAATTTAGAATCATTGAATCTTTTTGAATTACATTCGGTAAAACGATGATTTGGGACCTGGGTAACGTATGATAGTTTTTTCACAGATGTCTCACGAGAACGGGAACTATGCGTCAATGCCCCAGGACTCTCTAACTCTTAACCACTGAACTTATTCTAGAGAGATTCGGTACAACAATAGTCGATAGAATAGTTTTTATTACTCAAACCTTACGTGATCGGGCACTGTACTGGTAAGATCCCTGCGGGATTATTTATTTATTGAAACTACGATAAATCATTTCAAAATAGGTAAATCTTACTTGGGCACTGAATTGATTCTGGTTAATTCTGTCAGAAGTCATTAATCTACGCGGACGAAGTCGCGGGCAACAGCTATCTACACATATAATAAATCGTAGAAAAGTCAAAACTGTACATTGAATATTTTTTAAAAGAATATTTGAAGCGTGATCTCTAATCGATACCGAAGCCAATAATGTGGTTTTTAGAATTTTTGTCTGTTTGTCTGTATGTATGGCCGTGATGATCTCAAAAAGTACTGCACTACTATTTCAAATTTTGCATGAATATTACTAACAAGTCTGGTAAACATATAGGCTACATATTATCACGCTATCATCTACGGGACTGAATCAATTCTGACGACATCCATTACCGTAGAATATCCCTTGATAAAAACTAATTCAAAAGCCTAAATTCTGCAAGAAGTCATTATTCTACGCGGACGAAGTCGCGGGCAACAGCTAGTAGTTATATAAATTATGAAAATTGATTGATCGTCTTTAGCCGAGTTTTTTTATGCATAAGTCGGTAAACGAGCAGACGGATCTTTGATTAACAGTGGCCACTTATAGGATGTTGATGTGTGTTGTGATTCGTCAGAAACGTTTGGCGGATTTATAGTTGCCGCTTCGTGAATAATTTTCGTTGGTCCTACTGTTTGTGAAGGATGCAATATTTCGTCAATTGACGTCACGTGGAAAGTTACCCTTAGTGGACAGAGACATCAACGGTAAGGGTAACGATAGTCCGATAGTAACACACAAGCATTCTACTTTACCGTATCCCACGGCTTACTAGCAAAACAGTAACCTTTACGAAGGCCTTCTAAGAAGTTTCCAGCGCCAAATCGCACTATATTACATTAAGTGGACAGTTTTCCTATAAAACGTTGTAAATAGTGGAACGTGATCAGCATGGATACGTGTTCAAATGACCATCGCGGACTATGGCGGAATAGGAATGAACTTGTAAGAAAACACCATGGTCTTACAAGGACATCAGTACATCAGTAGTGTTTACGTGACCATTGTCATATATTACTGACCTTGAACACTTCAAGTTATGACCCTGAATTTATGACTACTTTTTGCAATGGCTTTTTTATTCTTTAAATTTATGTTATGTTGCAGTATTAATGCGTGTGGTGTACTGCGCGATGCTTTTGGAATTAGGATACATTGCGAATTGGAATGCAATGGTTCACGTAATAAGTTTCTTATCCTACGTGATGCGGTTTGATTTCTCACTTTTTGGATCACATACATTAGTACAATTTAGTGGTAACTCGTTTGGTCATCACAAGTAAGAACATAATGCATCATATGCTGCCGCAAGTTGATTTGATCGCGTCGCGTTTGTCGTCTGTGCAGCGTGGCATTTCATCGTCGTAGGTCGAGAATAGCGTAAGAGACCTAGTAAGCGGTTGAAACTAATAAAAGTTTTAATCTAAAATCTCGAATCGAAGTAAAGTTTTGACAGAAACTCTATTAATAACCGTTCTCCAACCAATGGGATTAATAAAATTAATTTGGGCCGTAAAATTATTTGTTCATGTAACACGAGGCTAACGAATGCACATGGATCATCAAAAATCACATATAAAATGAGGTTAACGTGTTTTGCCCACAAAATGGCGCGAGTGTAGGCAAGGGGTTTTGTCGAATCACAGAAACTGTCAAATAATAAACGGCCAATGATATGACATTAGCAAATTTCCCATTGGACGAAGCTTGAGAGGCTCACACTAGTGCCATCTAGTGAACAAATATACGATAGGCCCTATTAGGTATACACATGTAATCCGGATCTAAAGATCAATAAGATATTAATACGATGCAATGCTTTAATTACCAAGTCACGGTCTTAATTACTTGCGTTATCCTGTTCCAAGTTAATTGGGATGCCTCTCATGAGTTTCTAGCATATTCTTACAATAATAAATAAATTGTCATAATTCCTTCAAGTGTTAGGTAGAAAACTAGCCTTCAGGCAAAGGGTGCTAACGTTAATTTAAAGAAGCAGGTTCCCGGACTGCCGCGACGGGCGATTTGAAGTATTCAATACTGATTATAAAATTAACAAATCGGCTGTTATAGTCACCAATAAGGATAGTGATCTTTCTATACTAGAATTTCATGTTGAACTAGCTTCTACCAGTAGCTTCGCCCGCGTTCCCGTGGTATATAAAGTAGCCTGTTCCAAATTTCATCTGACCTCTTCAGACATACATTCTCATGAACTTTCGCATTTGTAATATTAGTAGAATTAGTAGTGTTTTAAAATGTAAAGTTCGTATTTCTCTTTTTTGTTATCTCTGGATAACCTCCTAGGTTTTTGGGGAGAAAGTCTGTGGGAATTATACCTCATCAAAACAACCTCTTTGATCACCACCACTATCAGCACCTATAAGAGGCAAATAGGTCTGAAGTGACCAACTTCAGGACCCTTAATGCCAGTTCAAATTCCACAGCAAATTAATACACCACACTTATCTATTGCTATATTGTTGTGACTTATGTAATCACCATTGGCCCTTTCTTTGTCCTCAGCACGATAAATACGACGTTGGCAGTGGAGAGCAGTTCGACGATTTAGTTGGATTAATAGAACACTTTAGGTTGTACCCCATGATTGAGACCTCTGGCGACGTGCTTCGACTCCTGCAGCCGGTCAGCGGTACCCGACTCCGAGCACATGACATCGACCGCAAGGTGCAGGAAATGCAGGTAAGCAGGAATCTTTAATGAAAGTACTTTTCTCTCTCTTTATAATTTGTTTAAGAATAAATTCATAGTTTAAAAACACAAATCACATGCTTATCGTAAATATACTCTCTTCATCAGTAGAATTGGAGAATTACAATTAACAGTACCTATAAATATATTGATAAAGCCTGATAAGAAAATAAACAAAAACATTTTAAATTGGACATAAATAATGAACGTGTACTTAATCATAATTGTGTTGGCGATAGTACCAATAACATGTCATATTGAGCAAATTATGCACATATAGAGGTAATTGTACATGATAATCAATGATCACACAAAATATATAATATTTATTATATCTATGACAGAATCAGAATTATAGACATACATAAAACACTCGTACATAACGGAAGACTGAAAAGTAGAAACAAGTGCCTAATCATATTACAAGTAAAAGGTTTACTTATAATGCCATTGTAACTGTCTATATTTCATTAATGCACAGAACTGCTCTCTTGGAGACAATATAGGTATAGCAGATCGACTACATTCTTAGGCTTTGTACATATAATATAACATTTACTTCAATAAAAACTAAAATAAAATTAATATTAACTATTACTAAATGAAAATATATACAACTTAAAATGTAAATAACTATAAACTAAAATATTCACACCTTAAAAAAGTAATAATAATAACAATGCTATCTTAAGGCACCAAAAAAACTTTTTTTCCTCATAGCTATCGCGAGGTGGGGTGCCCAAAAGACTGGCAGCATTGCCACGGTGAATGGCAATGCTTAACCTTTGTCCAAGATAGCCCTTCGATCACATGAAGTGTCAACCATCTTCGTACATATAGGATACCATTGTCCCTGCCAGGCTACATGTGCCAACCGACCTGAATTAACTTTGATTACCTGTTTCCTACATGAAGTTGTCAACCCATTTGTCATTCAGAACGAATGAACAGAATTTATACAATCATCATATCAAGAGTTGACAACGAGCTTTATTGTTTCGTCTGACATATAACTGAATAAAACATGCCATACTTAAGACGCAACCTATAGGCACGTGTACAACAACCTGCGCAGGAGTTGATAGGCATTTAAAAAAAATGCGCGCCGTTTCTGTGTTGCGTTCGCGCATAATGCATAGGTAACATGCCAGCCGCCACTTGCGCAATTCAGTGGGAAATTGACATTTTTATTATTATTTATTTACACCATTATTTTCATTGTCTGCTATAAATGAGACAATAAACGTTTTAATTGTTTGTTCGTAGTTTATTTATTTTAATAATTTTGTTATGGTAGGTAGACAATGGTTTAGTTAGACTGTGGTTGCTAGTTAGTCGTTTCTTTTGTTTAGAGGGTTTTTTTAAGGGGGGGAAATCATCGAATGACTGATCCCGCCTGGGTGAGGCGAGAGGGAGTGTCAGACTCTTACTGACCAAAAACCACCCCGTTCCTTCTCCTGCACGTCGAGCAGGAGCCACGGTTACCCGTTAGGTTCTCCGCGACTCCGAATTGTTTGAAGGGTAGATGTATAAAATCCTATGTTTTAGGTCCAGCTCGAAGTGGATTCATCGATTTTTATCACACTTAGACTTAGACCTACACACTAACTTATTAAGTGTCCAAATTGAGAGATCTCCCAGAGAGTACGACCTTGAATGTTCTCATCCATTTTAAAGTTTTATTCGTTTTATTTCCAGGAGATTGAAGACTATCAGAAGTTGGACAACAAATGCGGCTTCGATGGAGAGTTTCAGTCGCTGAAGATGTTGGAAGATCGACACGTTTTCACAAATTTTGAGGGAACCAGACCAGAGAACGCGCCGAAGAACCGATATAGAAACATTTTACCATGTAAGTCCAATATGTACTGTAGGTATATGGATAGATACAGGATGTATTGAAGCAAGGCTTAGTTTTCACTAGTTGAGTTCTGAACGACCAATATCAAACGAATTTGGAAATGGTTTTTATAATAGGGTGTTGCCTAACTTTAATTTTAATGGCCGTCTGGTAGATTAATTTAAAACATTAGACACGTATTTTTTCTTTTCTCACAAAATTAAACACTTTCGACGATATCTATTATATCTTTATCATATTAATCGGAAATATTGTGTGACGTCACAATGCGCTACATTTTCTAGCACTTTATGACGTAACGACCTCCCACTCCTAAACTTAACTCTATTTATTTAAATAATGTAACTTTATACGAGAAAATAAAAAATACGTGTCTAATATTTTTTCATTATCTAACTGACGGACTAATTAGATTTTTAGTTTTCATTCCCTGGCATCTACCCTATTGAATGAAGGCTTTCAATCACACTTGCGATCTACATGGCTGCAAAAAGTATACCTACTTATGTATCTTCTCATAACTAATCACTATCATGAACTTTTGTTTTTCTAACTATTCCTTTAGTTCTGAAAATTAGTGCGTTCAAAGTCAAAGTAAAAAGTCAAAGTCAAAGTCAAAATCATTTATTTCAATTAGGCCAGAATGGCACTTTTGAACGTCAAAAAAAGATATTAAAAGTGAAGCTATTTGCTCATTCCAAGTGTAGATTCCTATGAAGAAGAACGAGCAAGAAACTCCATAGGTTACTCTTTTTCAATCAGGTTCACAATACAATTTACTAGTTACATAGTTTTGATGTTTAGATTGTGCGAGAACAATGTAACACTAAAATCCAGTCAAAGTGATCAAAAAAGAAAATAACCTTAAGGACAATAATACAGTCTGGAGCTGACCAGTTCCAGTTGACGGCGCCCGTTCAAACAAACAAACTCTTTATGAAATGGTATATACAATTTATTAACTTTGTTATTCGTTCCTAAGTACCTACAACATCTACCATTTTGGTTTCCAGATGACCAGACGCGTGTGGTGCTTCGTCGGCGAGACAATAGGCCGGAGTCAGACTACATTAATGCGAGCTTTGTCAGATCTTCACGACTCAGCGACTCCTCCTCCTCCGTACAGTCCTCCAATGAGAGCCTGGACAGTGTTCAATGTAAGTTAATCACGTAACTTAACTAATTAATATTAAGAATAAAACTACGCTTCACTTTTCTCCTATATGATAAAATTGTACAAAATTTGAACATCCTATTCAAATTTATGAATGTACAGAAAGTAATTTGATACCGTAGGAAAATATATTTTATATTATAGCTCCTTTTGTGATAGCTAGCTATACTACAACATACATTAATATACAATATTAGCAAACCCGGCGAACTCTGTTTCGCCACCAAATGGCTTCGTTTTATATAACATTTCGTTTGGTGTTTTAAAAAGAAGAAACATTTTTTTCCTAAATTTTCTTTTTAAACTTCACGGAGTCCGAGGCCTTTCCAACGAATGCAAAACCGTGGAAATCGGTTCGTGCGTTCTGGAGTTATAGCGTCAGGAAGGAAAACCCGACAAATTTTTATATAGGAGATTTCATAGGTCTGTGACGGCCTATAATTAAATGCAGTCCATAGAAGAACACTGGAAATATAATTTAGATAAACTGGTCAAAGACAGGAAACTCACAGTTACAAATTCGATAACCTCCTTTCATTATGAACCTGCAAGCCTCGATAGATACCAATTGGGTATAATTTAGACGTAAATCTCTTACAATATGATCACTTGTGTACCTTGGTACTTTGATTTAACGTAATTAGTAATCGCTTGAATACCTTGGGCGATTGAAATATCGTGATGTTATTTATTCAAAGGAAAATTTTCTAAAAAAACTCTTAAATAAGTCTTTTTACGCTAGAAATAGTACTACTAGTACCAAACTTATAAGTATCGGGTACTTACCTTAAGCAAAAATACATTATTTCGACTATAAGTATGCTGTTTGGTGCTAAAAAATCGTGACGTTACAATACAGAATCTCGTACGAAATTTATAGAAAACTGTCGTTATGTATTGACAGTTTGAGACATGTATTGAATTTGACTAGTTGGCAATTACCCAATTATACCTACTGCTCATAAACTAAACGACAACTCAAAAACAAGCACACCTGTCCAGTGCCAAAGGTTCACAAGTGATTTGCGGACTATATTAAAGAAAATAGTTTAGTCACGGCATCGATTTCGCTTAGGGTTAAATAATGGCGTAATGAAACAGCGCATTAAACTTTCTGAACTCTCACTTAATGGACGAAACGTAGCAACCTTATTACGTCACTATTTCAAGTAAGTATTCTGTGAGATGGTGATACTTCTCGGTCAAACCGTCCTATTCGAATTTCATAAAGCATCTAATATTTAGCTGTCAATAAATAAGGTACCTATTCAATGTCCTCTTCGCATTTAAATCTAAACCTAAAATAAACGGTTCTAGAATACCTATAAATTTGAAATTGCGAATTGAATCAGAGTGAACAAAACAAAAGATTATCGGTAGGTTTTATTGAATAAAATCATCATAGAATATAATACAAAGGCAATTTCGCGTGTACCTATATCGGGAAAAATCCCCTTTATCTTTAGTGCGTCAATTGTTTATTGATACTTATATAGTATGTAAATTCGGTAACCGAACGCCAGACTGATCGGTTCGTGACCAGAAATTTTGAGAGACAAGGAAAAGTATCTGATTCGGTTTGCCCATAAACAGACACATCATAAACTGTGATGAATATTAAAGACTACTACTACAATGACTGTGTCATTAAAATTTTGCACGTATTTGCGGTTTTTGTAGTTTGGTTACTAGAAGAATAGTTACTACTAGAAATATAGGTTTTGTGTATGCCTGAGACCTATCTATGCAGATAGGTCTCAGGCAAAAATAGAAATTTGACTCCATACATGCGTATGGAGTCAAATTTCTATTTTTTACGAGATAGGGCAGCAAACGAGTAGACACCCGATGGTAAACAATGACCGCACAGTTGGTGCGATGACTGCGCAACTGACTATCGCGGTTTTGATTCTCGCACGGAGCTCTTTATGTGATCCATAGATTTTTGTTCCGGGTCTGAGTGTCATGTGTATGTGAACTTGTATGTTTGTAAACGCACTCACGACACAGGAGAAAATAATATAAGGGGACACCGTTCTATTTAAAAAAAAATCGGTACTGCCCATCCCATGGACACCCACAATTCGAGAGTAGATACATGGTGTGTTATTGGCCGTTTGGGAGGGAGTATAGGTGCTGGGTACACTGAAGGTTTTCACCTCGGTTTTCTGTGAGTCAGCATACCGGTCGAGCTAGTGTTTCGTACAGAAAGACGACTATCGACAAGCTCAATTCCCACAGTATGCGAAACTAGGAAAAATAATTTTGAAATGTTGAAAAAGATAAACAAAATAAAAACAATTCATTTTATTCAATAAAATTCATAATACGACTTTTCTATCATTACAGCCCTGATACTGAACAGTGAGTCAAAGAAGGCACCACCTTTAGTTTCCAAATCCCTGTCAGACGAAGCTTTGAGGGAAGTGAAAAAGTGTTTAAAACTCGACAAAATTAATGGCAACCTCTGCCGCGACGTAACAGGTGAGATAATTCATTTTTCATAAATATAATTCATTAAATAGTTAATCATACTCACGGCCACATATGAGTCTGACACAAAATGCTATATTCCAGGCACGATTCCAGCCTTCTGGCTACGACATTATGATTTTTTTTTGTAGAACTGGAGATACCCCATATACGTATTTGTGCCAGCTCTAGAAACATGAGCTTAAGATCTTATTACACATCCTAATTTAAGCAGAAAAGCATGCTTCAATTGTGCCCCGGTCACCTTAAGCACAAAAGGCGCGCTCAAATTGACAACCTAATTTATTTATATTTTATGGTGTACTACAAAAATACTTAGATGATATCTTGTCTCATGGGGTCTCGAAATCAGTTCCCAGATTAAACAAAGTATTATTTTTAGTCCTACCACGGAGCTTGGAATATCAATACATATTCCTCACAATATGGGACTCATACTAGTAACCTAACAAACTGGCGAACAGTAGTTAACTTCTTATTCTCCGTTTATTTGGCTGTCGAAGATAAAAAGTTGTGATAATAGCCAATGTTCAAGTGATTCTGTGGCTGTTTGTGTCGTATTCCTCAAAGTTGAAGGTCGAGACCACCCTTCTGTATCAATTTTTCTATATAATTCCCATAAATTAAACATTTTCCTTTATAATTTCAGTAAAAGACAAAACTTACATAGCTGCTCAAGGCTGTCTCTCCAACACAAAAGATGATTTCTGGCGCATGATATGGCAGGAAGATGTCAGAGTTATAGCTATGATCACTAATGAAGTGGAAAATGGCAAGGTATGTATTATATGTAAGGACAAACGAACAGACGAATCACCTGATGGTAAGCAAACAGCGCTGTTTAAAAAAAAATACAACTCCATTACTAGACTAACGTACTATAAGATGGTTTGGCATAATCTGAGCGCTTGGCCGAAATGACTGAGAGATCACTGTTAAAACGGTTCGGATATATCCATAACCATCGATCTCCATTAAATTTAATGTGTATTAGTAGTTAGTAGTATCTCAATACTCGCGGGAGGAATAGTGTCAAAGTCAAAGTCAAAGCGTTTATTTCAATTAATGCTTATTACGACACTTTTGAAACGTCAAAAATTGAATTGTCCGTCCGTCCGTCTGTCAGTGAAGCTAGGCGCTCGTTCCAAAGTGTAGTTTCGAATGGAGAAGAACGAGGAAGAAACTCCATCGGTACTCTTTTAAAAAATATATAATATAGTCTCATTGATACATTATCTGATCCTTTACCTAATGTTTATATATGTGAGAACGATGTAAAGACAAAACAATGTCAAAATTTAATAAGTGGTACCCACAGAACGTATTACAATTTAATATCTACCATAAACACGTCTTGAGTTTAAAAATCGAATTATGGATTATATTCACGGAGGACAAGAGGTGGGGAAGTTGTTGTTTTATAATGGTAACCGTCATACGATAGACGATTCTTACTTAGGGATCACTACTTTTATACTTCAACAATATTTAATATTCTTTTGCAGAGAAAATGTGAAAGGTATTGGCCGTTGTCTGGACACGAGGAGAGGTTCGATGGTCTCATAGTCAAAGCTATCTCAGAGACACATTATGAAGAGTACCTACTGCGCGAGTTCGATGTCAGTGACGACAAGAACTGTCGAACCGTCTTCCAGTATCAGTTCACTGTAAGTACCTACTTGGTGTCCTATATTATACCATTTTTTATACCACCACAGCGGCATAAAATCACACGACCCACCTGATGGTAAGTGGTTACCGTGGCCTGTGAAAGCTTGCAACACTTGGGGCATAAGATTTTTAAAGTGGATAGTGATTTATCTATCAATAATATTTTGATTTAAACTTCTCTAAAATATAAACATCTTATCCTATAAAGTTTGGGCTCGCTGCCATCGCAGCGGTAAGTCCCCTCTTTGAGGAGTGGCTTGAGAGACGCTACGGCGTCCTCACCTACCGCCTGACGCAGGTCCTCACCGGACATGGCAGTTTCGGGAGGTACCTGTGTCTGATGGGGCGGGAGGAAACGCCCGGGTGTCATCACTGCGAGGACCGCCCTGAGGACACGGTGGAACACACGGTGGGAGAATGCCCTTCGTGGGCTGAGCACCGCCGTGTCCTCAGGGAAGTGATCGGCGATGGCGACCTCTCGCGTCCGGGCCTAGTGCAGGCCATGATGCGGAGCGAGGGGGATTGGGATGCCGTCTCCTCCTTTTGCGAAGCAGTCATGCTAGCTAAGGAGGAGGCGGGACGCGTGAGGCAGCGAAGCGCTGCCTCCTCGCAACCCAGCCATCGCGAAGGACACACCGGGCGTCGGGGATCGCGGGACGATCTCCGGCCACCGTAAGCGCGGGCCTGCGGACGGCGAGCATGGGTGGCTCCCCGTCCGACCAGAAACAGACCCGAGCGTACGGCGCGTCGCGTTCCGCGCGCGCCTCAAAGAGCCATCAGACCACCACAGATGGGGCCCAATAGGGCCGATGCCGATTCGGAGTCGCGGAGAACCTAACGGGTAACCGGGGCTCCGGCTCGACGTGCAGGAGAAGGAACGGGGTGGTTTTTAGTCAGTAAGAGTCTGACACTCCCTCCCGCCTCACCCAGGCGGGGGCAGTCATTCGATGATTTTCCCCCCTTAAAAAAAAAAAAAAAAAAAAAAAAAAAAAATCCTATAAAGTTCCTTTTTTGAACGTATTTCTAAACAAGCAATAGTTTTCTTCTCTTAATAGTGTCGGATTCATGATGCATAAAGTCGAATCACCAAATTGTGGTGTGTGTGATGTTGTAGAGGATGTGCAACACATTTTGTATGAGTGTCGACGTATTGAGTCTCAGAGGAATCAGGTTTTTAGTTTTAAGAGCCTTAATATTGGTTTTTATCACAGTGTTTTAGCGTCACCATTGTCATCTGAGGCTAGAAAATTGTACAGTTTAATTATTTTGTGTTTGAGCTTAAAGGCTAGTTCAACCTATAAACGGTTTAGCTGCTTTATTTTTTGTATTGAATTTTGTATCATATAATAGGGCTGACATTTTCCTCTAAGAAAAAAAGCCCTTCTTATTAAATAAAGATTAAAAAAAAACAATAGTTTTATATAATAATGCGTGAACTGTAAATGCAAACACAACATTACGAAAATTATCCAGCTAAATTTTAATATCTAGTTATGTAATTTTATCTTCAACGATTGCAGACAAAGCACACTACACACAAATTAGTTACACTTTAAAAATAAATTCGTACTTAAAGTTAAACGAATAAAAGAAAGAAAAGTAATAGAGAATTATAATAAAAACAATTATGTTTCAAGGCATGGCCCGACCACGGTACACCCGGTGACCCTGATGGAGTGCTGTCCTTTATAGATGACATCAACCGGAGAATGATAAAAAATTCGCAAGAATCTGATGCTCCAGAACAGGTAAACATTTAAATATAACTATTATATTATTATGATTAACGTAGGTATCATAATAATATTATGTATATTGCCTTGCCTTTTTTGCCTTTTTGAAGGCTATCTCACTAATCACTTAAATCACCTTCAATCAATCATTAGTATCTTTCCTTTTCCAAAGCTATAACATAGCACAAGTTTACAATTCGAAGTATTTTATGATTTGAAGAAATAAATAAATATCTATTTGCCTCTCATCTTGAAATGAAAATGTTCACTTAAAATGACGTTTCCCTAACATGAACACTTTTAGCGACAGTATTACCTACGAACGTAACAAGTCTACGTAATTATAATTAACAAAGGCTTATTGTGTACTTGTTTATATTTTTGCCAAATCTTCTAACTCATTATACAGGTGCTAAAACGTCAAGCTTTACTTTTCAGAACATCCTGTGTGTGCATTGCTCTGCTGGCGTCGGCAGGACGGGCACGTTCATAGTCTTGGACATGCTAATCGATAGAATAAAGACATCTGGTGAGATCCAACACTATATTAAAGCATTATGTTCTTTATTTCCTATCCAATAAGAATATGCTCATGCGAATTACTTAATTTTGTTTGCTATTGCTCTTTTCTGTAAGCGATTTTTTTTGTATTTTTGGTTCAATGGCGATTGTTCTCAAGTAAATGCTGTGTCTCATAGTCTTATCTAAAATTCTTATTTTTAGGATTCAACTGTGACATCGATGTGCATTCCACTGTGAAACTGGTGAGGGCGCAGCGCAACGGTATGGTACAGAATAAGATGCAGTACAGATTCATTTACCTGGCACTACAAGAATACATTGATGGAAGAAACATCAAAATGAGAAAGAAGGTGTGTGAATTTTACTATGACTAGAAGAGTAGGGTCTTGTCAATTTTAGTTAAGGTATACTATGATATCGTGGCGACACATGTTACAAGTCAATGAAACAAATCAACGGATGACGTCACAAAATCCAACATCGCAGATGTAAAGTTTACACGCGAATTAACATGGATAGAAGATCTCAACGAACAACTGTTGGGCAGAAAGCCTCGCTTTTCCGATCTTAGGGAACATTAGTCCCTGTTCCCTAAAATATGAAACAATTTTTTTTTATCACCGGTTTATTCACGTTAAATACCTACTGTGAAAATATAATAAACACCCTCTACTAGTTTCAAGTCACAAAGGGACTCTCTCTTTGTGACTAATCGGTAAAACCGGTGTTAATAAACTGGGTTTTTAATTAGTTTAGTACGTTTAGCTAGTTAATATAAAAATAATGATAAACTTCCAATTCCATGAATACACAGCCCTTTTCACGAGTTATGAGTACCTACCACGCTGTGGTTTTAGAAACTTCTCATATTGCATTTACACTTTTCGTGTTCAATCAAATTAAAATCAGGATAAACACGAAGTTTAGAACTGTGCCTGATGTGTGGCAATGGATATGGAGTTTTTAACATAACACATAGTAAAACATGAATGAAATCAAGTGGAAGTACTTCTAACATCTAGAATTTTCATCATTTTCTAAAACTTTGAGGAATAAAGGAATAAAAGACGCTAATGATAATAGGGTACTATACTATATGTACTATGATTTCTATGTGGAAGTCAACCGGTAATTAGTTTTCCGCATGGCAAACAGTAGTAATTACTATGTAAAATTTTCTTTTATTTGTTTTTTTATCATTGACGAGTGTATTTTTCCAACCAGATGCGGGTGAATGTGAATATTTTATGCGGAGCGACAGACCGTTTGACTTCCTCAACTCAATTGGTCGAGATACCGATTTCATAAGGTTAGACCAGTTGCTATAGTTGGCTAATGTCAACTGTTTTCTTTTCTTTCAAAATGTGTATTCTTCTTTTTCTTTTAATATAATTATGTAAAGTGGTGATTTTCCCTTGACTAGGAGAAAGTGAATTTTATTTACCTTTTACTAAATTCTTTTCTTCTATCCATGTATTCTTAGCCTTTTCCCTATTAGTTTTGGGGTCGATTTAACCACATCATTGTTTTTAAATTTCACCAATGACTACCTGTTCAAATTTTATAAGCCTTTGCTTAGGTATATTTTCATTGTTGGTATTATTTATTTTATTTTTAGCCATAATCGTCCCACTGTAGGGCAAAAGGCCTCGTTACCCTCATTACACTCGTCTCTTCTCCAAGCTTTCTGTGGCCAATCCTTTTCATAGGCGTAAAGTTCATCCCGCCATCTCCTTCTGGGTCTACCGCGACTTCTATTGACGCTTAGTGGGCTCCACTCAGTAGTGAGTTTTGCCCACCGCTCGTCTGATATGGGGCAGACAAGACCAGCCTAGTTTCACTAGCTATCGGCTTTATGACCACAGTTTTGTTGTGCGTAATCTTTTGAGTGTTCCGAAAGTTTTTGATAACAACACAGAGTCTGAAAATGTGCCATGTACCGCTACATGACATAACTGGGAAAATATATTTATTTTAAATGGGTGTTTATTTCCCGATGTGCTCAATGAATGTATCGAATGTTTCTTTTATACAAACTTTGTCCTAAAAATAAGGACAGTTTTGTTCGTACGTCCATATTCGTGATCTTTTTTTATTACCTACATAATAAACTAATTTGAGTATCATGTCAAGGGATCAAATTTTTTATTAAACTTTTATTATTCTCTTCTACAGGTCTACACGTCAGATGCGTGAATAAAGAAACAACCAAAGTTGAAGAATTAGTGTTAGTGATCATAGCTATTTATAATTTAATTATTAGTGGAACCATGTATCCAGTCAGTCATTATAATTCATATTTAAGTCTTTTAATAAATGTCTGTATGAATAGGAAACTGTTTTATTTGCCCTTAAATAATGCTGTTACTCATTTTTTGATTACAATTTGGATTTGTGGATTTTGGGTTCGATTCCTGGGTCTGCTTTGAGCTCAGCAATCACGATGATTTTCTTCCAACAAAATTATATAATATTATTTTATAATTCCTGGAAATGACGTCAGAAATGGACTGCTGGGTACAAATAACAGATGTCGCTGTACTCAATAAAAGCGACCAGCGATATACCTATACCTCTAAATAGGCTTATCAAATAAACACTGTACAATGTCAGTAGGAAGAAAACATCAATTACTTCTTATTTTAATTTTTATTTAATTACTTCAACGGGTCGTTTGTTAAGAAGTATTCAGGACTTCATAGTAGATAACAAAGCTTTTAAAATAGGGTAGAAGAAAAATTCATTAACAGATGTGTAATAAAGTGTTTTCTTTTAAATTGCAATTGACTAGGGCGACAGATAAATAATTAAGAAGTGGGTATGTAGAACATGTGGTAATTTTGTAAACAAAGCAGAGAAAAACATTATTATTGACATTTATAAAATAAAATTAATGAATGTCGATTTGTTCCACAAAAATATGACATTTTCTGACAACGTAATAAGACTTCATATCATACTGAATGAGTTGTTTTAAAAAATGCCTCGTTGGCCGACTGGTCGTAAGTGCGACTGCCGGACAAGGGGTCTCGGTTTCGATTCCCGGGCCAGGCAAAGTATTACTGGGTTTTTAAATATTCTCAGTAGTAGCACGAAGTCTGGAATTGTGCCCGGTATATGGCAATAGGCTCACCCCCTATTACATGGGACTCATAACATAAATAGTGAAAAGTGGGTGTTACATTATACAGTGGTTTAATGTGCACCTCTGCCTACCCCTTCGGGGATAAAAGGCGGGATGATGTTATGTTGTTTTGTGTCATTAAAAAACTTCTACCAGACAATGATTAAAACATTACAAGATGATTGGAATAAAATTATAGTGTGGGTTGGTTAATTTTGTGTACTTATGGGTTGTAGAAAAACAATTGTATAATTTTCAATGATTATAATTATATATATGCCAAAAAGCATTTTAATATATGCAAGGAATGTCTATTAATAAATAAAACAACATTAAACTTTCTTTATTTATTTCACATTAAAACATTTCAAGCTATCTTGATTTAACTATTACACAATTAACATGATTTTTATTAAAACTAAACAAATCGTACTTAATCATAATTAATTATATTAACAATAGATTATCATAAGTTTGCTTTAAGCTAAAATCATTCGCAGATAACCATTATTAATCTACAAAAGATTTAAATTAATATAAATAGCTATAAAACATGTCAAAGTTATTCGCTTTAAACATCGTCAAAAATGGGTAAATGAACTAAGTAAAAATACTAGAAAAATACTCACAAATATAAAAGAAGCATGATTTGGCACGTTACCGTAAATAAAAATAAAAATTGTGAAATAAAGACAATTCCTTAATGTCCTATTTATTCATAGATACGTTTACAATGACTAAGCTTATTTTTCGAAATTTTAAATATATTCAGTGTTTAAAATTAACTCTTAAGATTTTGGGAGCGCACTAAGTATCGGAAGACCAACCTATTAAAAATATGCGACATTTTCATAGATCTTTAGGTCAGCAAAAGGAGTATTTTTTTTACAAAATTAAGTAATTTGTAATATACCGAGAGAAGCGTTTGTTCCGCAGTGGATATTTTGTGTCTTCATTGATGATGTCGACTAATCTAACCGTAATGAGCTGAGGTCATGGCTCGTGCGTAGGCAGCACGGAAACTGATCAATGCAGTCTCGAAATCGAATTCAATGTTTTTTTACAACATCCCAATTAAGTAGGTTTTCTTAATTTTGTAGCTATGCTTTCTAGATATTATGATACTAAGGAGACTCGCAAAATCCTAAAAGTATTTTTAACACCTTATAATATTTTCTACACAATATTTTTTTTTCTATTTCAATGCATTTGAAGTATAGTGATTTATTTAGGCTCAAAAAGCGTAAAATTATAATCAATTATACACATGTATATATAATATATATATAAATAATAGTATTTTTTTTAGTTTATGTCTTGCGAAGTTCCCAGTGCTTGTATTTAAGTGATATTTTGCAACGTACTTTGGAAAAGCGCGAAAATGAGTTTTATATATAGGGTGACAGGATTTAGATCCGAATATAGCAATTTGGTATACGAAGGACGATATATTATTAATTTAAGCATTTTATTTTTGTTGATAAGTAGGAACATAATTAAATTTTTATACGTCATTGATGATTTCATTATTTACATGAATATGATCGTTACTTCAGTTTATTTTCATTATTTTATATTACTCTGGAAGTCATGAACATTTGCCGATAATTACTAATTCAAATTGAATTTGAATTATAAAATAAAAATTTAGTTTTATCAATTTTATTCTTTTGACTATTGTGATGAAAGTTTCTAGGTATTTTTGATACCTTTCTATGACTGTAAATATATAATAATGCACAAAATATTACCAGTTGAAGGTAAAACTTTGGTTAGCAGTAAATAAAGCATAAGAATTACTTCATACTTACTACTACATAGTATCCCAAACTATTTAACTCAAATAAATTGGTAAATAACCTCGTATATATGCGAAATTGCTACAGGTTCAAATCCAGACACCCTATACATACTATGACTAAAGATCTAGAACTATTACATCATTCTAATGTAGGATATAATTCGAATCTAAAAATAAGATTATTTTATACAGTAATAGTCAATTTATAATTTTTTTTTCGCTAATTTTGACCAATATGCATATAATTGATAGGTTTCATGATAACAGTGTGTGGCAGTATATAATTATCTAATATTGTTGACGGTTGCGAGTATTGAGTTGTGTATAAAAAGTCGCAGCGAAGACGGTAACATACGGACATACAAATAAAATATTAGTTAGGAAATTAGCCACGATATTATATAGAATGTAGTAAAAATTCAATTCTTATGCATTTAAATTAGGTAACTTTTTCTTATCACAGTCGATTATTATATTCCAAATATACATAAATATCTTTTAATGAGCCGTCAAGAATATTAAATAGTTTCCTAAAAAGTAGAAGGTAAGTAATTTTGTAACATATATATGTTTACTATACAACAATCAGTTCGTTGTATGTGATGGCGTATCGAGGAACCATATTTTATAAGTGTTTAGAGGTCCGTATATACAAAATGATCTTTATATACTGCTTGTGCCGACACTTAGAGGTATATACATTGAGAAACTTTGGAAGGGTATATATGGTTAACCCATTTGTATACAGTGTGATATATCTATATATATATGTATATATGCTGAGCACTAGACCATTCTTTGCATTTTAGTCAAACCGGTCAGTTACTAAAGAGATGTTGTTTTTGATCGGTAAAATTTCATTTTATTGACGTTTCTCTGATACAGAATAATAAGTAAAGATCTTCTCATATACACAGATCTCATACGATTCTACGATTTTTAAATATCGTTGCTTATTTCCGAAAACGCAGTGTTTAGAGCAGAATAGAAATTTTGGCACTCGGTATATAAAGGACTTAGTGTTAGTCGTTACAATTATAAGAAAATGTTTACCAGCTAAATTAGGGTAAGTATAGTTACTTTTAAAGTGATCTATATATAGGTATATATTGATAAGTAGAGTTCGAAACTGGTACCTATCTGCGCGCAGAACGAATCGACATAACTTGCAAGACAGAGCAGTGTGCACGTGAATACTTCTATCATGGATTATTATTACTGGCTACACATTCATTATAATGATTATATAGTGTTCCTATAAGTTAATAAGTATGTTTTTTTTTTAGTTATTTTGATCATCAATTAATTATTTTCCAATATTTTAAAATATTTCATATTTCCGTTGAACTTGCTTGAAAGTCGTCGTTTTGGGAAAAAAGCATGCGGGATACAAACTTAATGACGACAGGTATGAAAACTAGGTAACAAATCTAGTAGAAATTAGCAAACTTCATGTACCTAACGTAAAAAAACTAAGTACAATTAATTACTAACAATATTATGTATAAATAGGAGCCCTCGCGCATTCTGTAGTCGGTGCCTATGCTGGCGGTCGGTGCGGAGCGCGGCCAGCCGGTAGTGGCGGGCCGCGGCCTATCGACGCGGCGGTGGCACGGCTCGTACGTACGTACGACGCGTTTATTATAAATACTGGTAATAGACCCGTAACGCGACAGTCTCGTCGCATTATGCGCGTGATCTCTTAAACAGATATGAAGCATCGACTACAAGGTCACAGTATGTCAGTCTCGTAAACCTTATTAGTAGTGGCCACAGTGTCGGGCAGTCTGCCCTTCTCGGTGGTCATTGTCCCGTCAGCGTGGCGTTCGTGGTCGCCGGCTAGGTGCGTCATGCTGCCGGATGCGGCCGGCGCTATGTTCAAGTTCATCTTACTCAACAAGTTGGACTCGCTGCCTGTCTTTTTGAGGTCAGGCTGTGCAGTGGGTGGCAACGTGGGACCGCTCCGTTGTATCATTTGCAGCCTTGCGTACTGTTCTTGCAGCGCCTTTTGTTTCTTCAGCAGCTCTTGATGTCGTTGTTCAAGGGGTGTGTTTCGACTGGTGGCCTTGTCGTCGTCAGAAGTTTCGGAGGGGTGCAGGGTTAGAAGGCAGGGGTCGGGATCGCAGCGAGGAGGTGAGGCGGGCGAAGTCGGCGAGGCGAGCGGCGAGCGCGAGGTGGTGCGCGGCGGCGGCGGTGGCGGTGCGCGGCGCGCGGCCATCGCGAGCAGCTCGGGGTGGCGCTCGGGTACGGGCGGCTTGGGCGGGTGCTGGCCGCGCGCGCGCACCGGCGGCGAAGCGTCCGTGTCGCTGCCGCTGGGGTAGGAGTGCAGGCGGCGCAGGGGACCCTCGCCGCGCCCGCCGCGCTCCGCCGGCTTCGCGAACGTCTGCAGTTCGTCTAGTAGCGCATCGAGGGCGTTTTCTGGCCGCACGTCCGCTCCCCGGCTCGCTCCTCCTCGCCCGACGCACACGCCGCCGGTGCCCTGCGCACCATTCCACGCACTTCTAGCTGTGCTCGCCGATCTCCAACAGACATTATAAAAGAGCGGTTGCAGGTGTGCCCTAAACTTCGATGCTTGGTTAGTTAAACAAACATTCAGCTAGCATCTAATACTTGAAAGCACATTGCAACCGCACTTTTATTTAGACATAAAAACACTGATTCAAAACATTTAACACCGCATTCAGTCCATTGAAGACACTTAGAATAAGACAATACTATGTCTGAATGCGACCACAATCATTCAAAAAGAATAAAATAGTAACGAAAAAGGCGAATGCCCTTCTTCTTTGCCGTCGAATAGGTAACATGTACGACAATTTAGTAAAATACTATGGTAAGTATTGTTAAAATTACATTTGAATGTACAGAAAGCATGTATAAATGAAATTAATAATCCAAATACTTACAATGTTTTATTCGACGACAAAAATGAAAAGGAAGTATAGACGAGCTGCCTAAAACTAGTGGGAAGTAAAACCGAAACGTGGTGGAATAACTTTGGAACGTATAGATTTACAGGTGAGGAAGTAAGATTTGATAATTATTAGAGATACATATAAACAGTTAGATACATTGGTTTGTCGTGACATATAGCGCAACGAGTTGATTTGGTGACTCAACAATTATGGAAAGAGAACAAACTTTAAAGTATCAGAGACGTGTTTACTCTTAACAATTGTGATGATTTTGCCATTAGTCAAAAAAAATATAAAGTGTATAGTACGTTACCGGCAATCTGTATAATTTGGTATTCTATGCAATGCGCGTGTGACTGTATGAAATACATATTTCAATTTCAGACTTTGTCTGAGCGGTAGGCATTCTACACAATGCCGAATGCAAAACAGGCAATTTGTGTAAAAGATGTAAATGATGGTCTTGCATAATTATTATCTATCTGTTTAGTCGTTATCATTATTACAATAACATATACAACACTCCTCAATCTGTTTCTGAACTATCTTCTTTTAAACCAATCAACGATTTTATTCAGTTATTAAATGTAATAAAAATATTTTCATTAAGTGATAAACCTGTCAATATAATGATTACTACCTCTATTTCACTAGCTAAACAAAATAAGATTTATCAAAATAATGTGTTTCGTTTTTTACAAAAAGACCTACAATAAGGTCTATTATGGCAATAAAGCAATGAGCCTCTGGTTTGGTTGTTGTCGCCCATTTTGCAGTGTTCGAGGGAACCTTACTACACCTCAAGACGACGAAGAGAAGACTCAAAATACACCGACTATGCACTGTTGCCTACAGGTCGAAAATCATAAAGATCCCAAAAAAAAACAAAATTTTAGTTACTATCGTTAGTTACATGTTAAGATTACCTAAACAAAATAAACGTTCTAACAAAATTTAATGGTCAACATCGATTGACTTTTATTGCCTATGGGCTAGCAAATATTTTTGCTATTGAAAGTTTTAAGATATGTATGAATATTAATATACCAATACAATCAAACTAACAAATATTAAACCTCATTGTCCAATGTGCAATGTGCAATGGATAGTAAAATAAAGTACCTTTGTTCATAATATTTCATACATTGCCCAGGTATATTATACTATGCCAAGGTATTGTACAGAATGCCGGCATTATACACATTACTAGTAAATATATAATTATATATTGGATAATATTACTTATTTAGCCGTAACAGTATACTACCTACTAAAGGAAGCTATGTCAAAGTGACATTTTTAATCAAAAACTAATCTAAGAAAAGCTCAAAGTGGAATAATTGCAACCGCTACTATGATCAAAACATTGCCATCATGTGCAAATGGTGTTAATTTTTCTTTATATTACTTTTACGTAACGACTGTACCTATATCGAAGCGAATACAATTTTTCCAAATTATAATTACCTGTGCTCCATCGAGGTGTGTTTAGCAATACAATAATTTAACTATTTTATCAACAGGGGATAGATTTTCAAAGGGGTTAGGGAGGAGCACAATGTATCTTCAATAATTAGAAATGTTTAAGAAAACAAAATAGATATTGGAATGTGTCAAAGAGAAAAATCGAAAGTGGAAGTCACGTCGAGGGTTAGGGTTAGTAGCAGGAAGGAGTGTGATGGAGTGTTGTTTAAGGCAATTCATTCATGTCCGGAAGAATCTGGCTGTGAGCTGCTCCTGATATCGACAATGTGCTGCAACAAAATAGAAAACAGCAAGATGCACAAACTATTGTTTTAAAAGCAACTACAGTAAATTACAACATGCATGTTACATCTATTGACGACGACGATGTGTTCATATTTCACGGACACACAGATATAATGAAAATCCTACGAATCAAAAATAAAGTAAAGGAAATCATCGAAATAAAATGTATAAAGAAATAATCAAGAACATGAGAGAAATATGAACACACGTCCGCTTCATGTGCTTCGTGTAACACTTCAGTTTTGTGAATTTTAAAACAACGTGATAGTAATTACGTAGTTACGTAACTTTGTAATTTTAACTTGAATGTTAACAGAGACCTTGATCTAGTAAAAATAGAATTTACGATGATTGAAAATTTAAAACGGCTAACTATTGATATTTTACACAAGTAGTCACTACAAAAACCATTAGCCTGTATTCAACACTAAAAAAGAAAGGCTTTCCATGCGGAGAATGGTTAATAGATTTTTGAGAAAAGTTTGCTCAATTTAAAAAACATATTTGCATAATGCCAATGTCTTTAAATCTTTCGTCCATGTCGTAATTTAAGCGATTTTATGGTATAAATGTTATGACCAATTTTAAAGGTGGAGAATGGCAAAAATCCTTTTTCTTTGACGACGCGGGCAAAACCGCTGTATAGGATTATTTTATCAATATCAGGGTTTCACTTTGTTTTCCTTCATCGTAAAAGTGGTATTTAATTTAATACAAAAGTACATAGCCTAATGTGAAGTGAGCATTTTCAATTTTTTTTTCAAATTGATAACTAAGAAGGTAATTATCAACATTAGCCGGTTTAAGTAGATAGGTAATATTTCGACTAAAGTTATATATTTAAGGTTCTGTTAGCATTATAAGTTTTTAAGTCAATAATTCAATTTTAATTAGATGTAGTAACTATTGAGTTACAATCACTAGCAATGAATTACTTTTCTAATTAGGTTTTTACATAAAATCCAAAATTCGTATAAAGTTCCTTAATGTATTGTACTAGCAGAATGAATTTGTTGTGAAAGTACCTATACATTTCATTGCTCGTGGCTGTATGTTCTAATGGCATGCTCCGTGCAACAACGTTAAGTCCAATTAGATAGATCGTTTATAGAAGAGACCTGGAGTGTAAAAAAATAAGAACGTTTTACTGTTCAAGGAATATGATCTGTAGTAATTTATTATCTCAAAGTGAAAGTGTTGCTTGGTTATAGAATTTTCCTTTTCATCAATATTTTCAACATCCCAAGTTTCTATCTGCATGCCATTGATTAAAGTAGGCCCAATTTAAATTCATTATTATGAAACCCAATATTAAATTGAAAATTTATAAAAATTGTAAACAATGCAAGTTAGCAATCATTTTTAACCGAATCACAGCTTCTATGAGACAATTACTCACACGACTATGACAATAGCGAATTCGGTCAAAAATTGTATCATTGGCCCGTGTTACTTTAGATTGTGTTAAAATTTAACTAATATCTATTAAAGCGGAAATTTTGTTAAACTATAAACCATGCCTTGTTGCAAAATCGTACAAATCCGCTCCAAAGATATCGTTAAACTTTAAATTCAAGAGTTATAATTCAGATTTATAGTTCCATTTACTTTTATTAATATTGTAAGCATGCGTACCGATTGTTTCAAAACTGTTCGAACTGGAAAAAATATGTAAAATTTCTATAAGTTTTTCCAATGTACAATATACAGGGTTACAGGCTAAGTCGACTTAGGTTCTTTAAGGAGTTGTAGCAGACATATCTTCTGATCGCTAAGATTAAGAACAATACCGATTTTATGTTCCCAATGTTTATCTTGTATACTTTCGTTTGAAGTCGATAAATTAAAATAATCATAGTGAAAGTTACAAGAAATATGGAGGGAACGCACAAATAAATAAATCGATTCATCTCATTTACAGATATAATTTGAACTGCATGTGAAGAATTTTCAAGAATTGCCCGGTTGAATCGAGAAAATAGATAACTTCATTATGCTGAGAGAGAAAGAAAATATGAAGAATTTTTTGATGATAAATTACAAGTCCGTTAATCGAAAATAAAGGAACGTAAAGACGGTATAGTTTGGATGGGGATACTATGTGTCAGATGATAAGTCAGAAACTATGTCTACTGCAATCCTTCAAAGGATCCAGGTCTACTTAACCTCTAACCCTGTATATGTGTCAATCAAGCGAATTTGGACAAAATTTTTAATTGTTAAGCGGAGTTATAAATTCAGTGCACCAACATGCCTACAGAGATAATAAAGCAAAGATTTGTTATAAAATTATATAAAAATAGACGATGGAATATATTGAAAAATAAAATATAATAATAATAAAAGTAAAATTACAGATGTAGAATAAAATATAGAAATAAATAATTTAAACGTATTTATGAATAATAATGGATAATTATAGTATTATGAAGAGATTTTATTACTCGTTAACAACAATAGCTTCCTTGAAGTTTAAACTGTCTCTCCAAGCGTACTGCCGCGTGTACCATCACGGAAAAAAGACGATGAAATCCATTGTTAAAACAATTTGGTAATGACACAACATAAAAATATTATAATGTATAAGAGATATTGTGGCGTAGCGTTTGGCATAAGTCTCAACTGCTGTGACCAACCCTCGAAACCAAATTCAGTAACGCCTATCGTTGTGGCTTTAGAAATGAAACAAATATATTGGAATTCATTAGCCCACGTGACCATACGGACCTTCAGGAGTCTCCGCACATTTGTGTCGTTTCTAAAACGATGACAATTATTGATACTGAACTTGGCTAGGAGGGTTGGCAATGTAGCCTATCTTGTACCTGATACCTAGGCCTACTGGTAGCAACTTTGCCGATGAAGATAATTCTCAGATAGATGTATAATATACGTATGATACAATATAGCTACTACGAAGTGATCCAACGAGACGGTTACTCAATTTCTATTAGGTTTCCTTTATAAACATTATTTACATTATCAATAAGTTACTGTTTCAATAGATTATGGTTTTTTATAAAGCTTTTGATAAACATTGACAGACATTTAACATCAGTTTATTATTCATTGATGTTTTTTCAAGTAGAATCATATTTTATAAACGTACTTCATGTACGATTAGAGCGTTCCATGAAGTTATATACGTAAATTGAATACATTAGTAATAACTTTTGTAAGTGTTCTTCAGGGGACTATAATAGGCCCAGTTATATTTACTTCACTTTAAAATCAAGATAACCCTCGTTGGACCACAAATAAGTATGTATATGATCATAATATGGGTACTTACAACTTACAATACGGGACAATTACTACCTAAACACTTGATATCTGTTTGTACATACAATCAAGTTTGGATGACGCTTTTGGGCGTGGCTGTGAGTGGCAGGTCCATCTAAATGTTGGATATGGTAGACATTATTGTTAAAATTGGCATTATTTTCCGAAAGCAAGGATTATAAAACGCAACGTTTACGGATCGTGCATTAGTTGCAGGGATGTGTGCAAAAAAATTTCAAGGTTCGTTGTATTCTGTAATATTACGTCACACTCTGATTTATAATACTTACCATAGATGATCATTGTCTTGTTACGTGAAATCATAGCAGTTGTATTTCGTTGAGTACGGTGCGAGCCATATAAACATATTTCAAACGATTAAATACTATTTAGCGTCACTTTTTCTCCATTTGTTGCTTATCAAAGTAGGTACCTGTTTATCCCATATTAGGCAATAGAGGAAAATGTGAAAGTGCTAAGGCCGCAACTAAATAGCGTTGGAAATAAGGGATGAACTTCAGACTCTGATACAAAGAGTTTCATTCTGCGAATGTATATAGATTACTCCGCGCTGTTCACAGTAGTAGAGAAGGTGACAGCTGAACTAGACGGAGTCAGAATGGAGAATGAAAGAGGTCTGATTAAATCTTTCGCAGACTGGAATCATGTGGATATACAAGTTGAAAGGGACATTATTTATTAAGACTCAACCATCACACATTAGATACGATATTAAAAGGGAGTTTAAGACACACTCAGATGTCCATAGATCATAATTATAAGAAAGGTTATAAAAATAAGGCAAGATTTGTACAAATTTTGATATTCTCGGTTTATTCAAACCCATCCAATTCTTTTCGGTGCTAGCAGAAAATGCTGTGTGAACAGCTAATTCAACCAGACTATCCATGATTGATTACCAACTAATATTGAGGTACTTTGGACATATAGCTCGCAGACAGTCGTATCCGGGACAAACAAACAGTAGTTTGGAAAATAGATGAAGTGTAAGACACAAAAGTCACCTTTTGATGTCGCAGGGTTCTCCTGCCTTTACAAAAGTGGAAAATGCATAATTGGTACCATTTCAAATTAACTGGCGCACAACACCTTTAGCTTACCTTTGTCTTAGCTTTGTTTTTTATAATACGCAATTTTTCCTATACCACATTTTCATATACCTCTACAATTTAACACATATGTAGCAATAATTTTGACAAGTTTATAAAATAAAAATTTGTGTCGAGTGCGGTGTCGAAAGAAAAAGTTGTAATTTTAGTAGTTTTAAAGACATTTGTGATTTCAAAGCGGGACGTGCATTTCTGTGCAATAAACGTGTTAATTGAAATTTGCAGAAATTTTATAGCTAGTTGAATAAATTGTTATATAATTATAATAAGTGGAAAGATAACATTTAAAAAGCTTTTAAGAAATACTTTCTTCCTGGCAGTTCCTGGCAAACGTCTGTTTGTGAACCTCATTTATTTCTTAATTATTTTTTCTTTTTAGAAGTGCAGAGTACACAGTACACTTCTCATCTTTATCAGTTACATTATATGACTTGAACGTGACTTGAACTTCACTTCCATAGAATAATGGACCTTATTTTGAAAAAATTTGACGTCGACTCTCTGAATATCCGACTAACAATCGAATTCAAGTTCTAGTCGCAGTTATAATCTGTTTACAATCTGCTGAGAGTGATACCTCACATCATTACTGATTTATCACGTTGCCAGAATTATACAGTTTCATACGAATTACCTTAACTTATACCGATATAAACCAGAGTGTGTCGCAATACTTTTGGATGCAATAATAAAATATAAATTTTGTATGCCAATTTTGTTCTTCGTAGAATTTTGAATAATTTGCGTCGAAATAAATTTAGAGGCCAATCGTCACTTGATAACACCCAGAATACACGGGACATATATTAAATATATCGGATATCGATGCGAGGTGGACTAGTGTATAGGAAAAGATTGTATCAAAAATGAAAAATAAAATAAGCTTCGTATTTAGCTCGTTAGTGATGACTTAGGATACGCTAAAGAACGGATGCACAAAACATGCCAAGTTGTCGTGAAAGAAAGATATAGGGGCGCATGCAGTCCAAACCAACCTTAAATGTTACAGGGTTCAAAACCCAGGCTAAGGGGTGAAGTGAAGAGCAAAATAAATAAAAACAAACACTTCGCAAATAAATCGAAGTGTTGGAAAAAAATGCAAATTTTATAACTCTTGGCAAACCTGCAATTGTTAAGCGCATGGTTTATTAATAAGTATGAGCATCAAGAACTGGTATTATCTTAACTTAGAGTATCTGCTGAATTTGTCTGCAAATATCAAAGTTTCAATGTTTCATGTTATCAGGGAAGTCAGAAAAGACTGTTACTTTCACTAGGGACCATTATTACTGGATTTAAACAAACACATTTTGTTTCTTTTGGGAAGGTTGTAGTATATTATGGGTAGTGTTCAGAAGTGAATTTCTTTCAATACCTTGTTGTGAGAGCTAGCATTGGGGCATGAGCTATCCGAAGCGCATTCTTCGGATGACGGTCCAGCCGTGAACGAAGAGCTCTGAGACGATACTGGAGAGACGCGACCATCAGTCAGTGGCAGACGCTGTTCTTGGACGCAAGCAAGGCTGAAAATGTGAACATGAAATATTTAAAGAAAAACATTTTCAGGAACATTGAACCGTTTGGCACTACAATTTGTATTGCAGTATTAAAGGTTAGACAATCACAACAGTGCTTTAAGGAATTGATATTTCTTATCTTACCGCTTCAACGTCACAAGCGTGCCAGTCAGCTTCTTGCAGCGGCGCAAGGCAAGCTCCAAGCGCTCTGGCTCTTCTTCGAGCATTTTTTCCTTGCGGACCACCTGGAATTTACAGCACATAATTTAAAACTCCGAAGTTTAATGTTTCTTTCATATCTAGTGTCTTAATTTCATGCTATGTCAACTGGTGGTAGCGATCGCCTCATTTTACGTGTGAGCCATAATTATGCCATTCGTGTGATCTTAAAATAGTCTTAGTCTAGATATACTTATTTTTTTAGCTTACCCACGACTCGTAAGAAAATCTTAAGTAAGATTTTATAAGGTAAAATAACTATCGCGACCTATATATGCCTTTAACTCGTCGAGTACCGGTTTTGTAGACACAATTATAGAACAATAGGTTGCGGTCACCGGTGACCGCTTGGTGTTTGACAGTTTAAAGTCACGTACAATGACGATATAGTAAAACATACTCGGCATTATTTCTACTCTTCCCACAGTTGTTATGAGAGTCAAAAGGTATCAGGGTGAAAAAGTGAGCGTTGCGACCAGGAAGCAGTGCTCTATGATGATCCTGAACTTATCAAACTGTGGTCTAAAACCCACCTGTCAGGCCACCCTGGGCATTATGGTAGATACTTTTAAATAAAGGAAATCCCTATGGATTTCCTTAGACTGTCACAAGCCTTTGACAATGATGATGGTTGGGTTGATGACGATGATAATGATAAATTACCTTCTCCATCTCAGAAGCGAGCTTAGTCTTCATCGTGTCCTGCAGGATTGGAAATTTGAGTTTCCAATCAGCAACGGTCTTGCTGCTCTTGGAGAGAACCATGGCGATACGCTCTATGTCGGCCATGTTGACGCGAGTCTCCCTGGAAATGATTTAATGGGGGATTTAGATAATACCTGTAATGTTTTTATTTGTGTAATTTTATTCCCCGTATGAATATAGGCAGAAGATTAAATGTAATTTTGTAGCAGTTATTGAATTCATGAATACATGAAACCCGATTCCAGATTCTGTGTCATCATTGAAACTTTTGCAATAATAATGAATACTGACTTTTATTGACTCTGCAACAAGATACTAAAAACTGAGATTCGATTTTATTGTTTTTCAAGGTTGTTTCAAAGATGTTCAAAATATGGTTGATTAAATTGCCAAAATTACCTGTTAGCGGCTTGGCCACGGAGACGCTCGACGGTAGCCTCCAGCTCATACAGGTCATTCTCCAGGAGCAGCATGTCCTGCCGGTAGATCTCTTCCTCACGGCAGAGTTGCTGTAATCACCGAAAGCCAGGAAGATAAGAAACTTTTTACATGCAGATTCAAATTATATCTGAACTTTGACCATACATTAGAATAATTTATTAAGACTGGTTGTAAACTGATAGATGGACGTAATATAGTAGATATAAGAAACGTTACACAGTTAGAAGAAATCAATCATTTAATATTTAGGTTTCGGTGACAGTTTAAAATATGTATACGCACAGAGTTCGGGTCAAGCTCAGAGAAGCTTTCAGCAATAGCTCCAATCTTGACAATTGCGTCGCCCATGAGCTGTCTCATTTGCATGGCGTGACTCAGAGTAGAACGGCGCATATTGCGAGTCTGTGAATCAAATTAGCACTTAAGAGATAAACAAACATACAATAACAGAACAATATTTCGCTGACAGCAAAAATTTCGCTTAAGAGCTTCATTGTCGCGTTAGTTCGCGTTAGCATACATGAAATTTCTCGTCAATTAACATACCTCAATGCGCAAGTCACGGCTCTGCTTCTGCAGCAGACGAAGTTGCCCCGGGAAGTCCGAAGACACGTTGATGGTGCACGTTTTCTGGGGTATCAGAGCAAGCTGCTGGCTAGCAAGACCTGCAGGCTTCGGCGGAGGAGCCGGCTTCAGGCGATCTCGTTCTGCAATACAAACATGCAACAATCCCTTTATTCAACAAATTCCAGTCAACAGAAGCGGAGAAAGCTACACAATACAAGCATGATTTTAATTGCTTTAGCTTTACTCCAGCAAATTGTTCTTCCAAGGAACATCATTCAAAGCTGTTGCCAAGCTTTTGTTGAACGATGTAAATGTTATTTTGTCTATAAACTTGTTAAAGCTGATGTACAATGACAGGAGGTACTATGGATAAGATGGAGAAGCATCGAAGTTTGACTAAGAATTTTAATGTTTTCAACACTAGTTGGGCTTTTTAGTTTATTATGTAGTCATAACGTATCAAATCATTATAATGGCGTTATGTTATTACTTCATTCATCAAGGTAACATAACAATCGATGTCTTCTCATAACATCACATCCTATTCTCCTGTCCATAGTACACCGCGGATATCCGCCACCAAATAATATTAATTATTCAAGTACATTTTATTAATACCGGCATGATTTCAAAGCTCATGGCATTATAGACCTTTATCAATACATTTATAGTACAATTACATAAATATCAATGGATATCAAAGAGTTACCTTGCGACGATGTCCTCGGCAATGTCGAAGATTTGATAGCCGGTTTGGTAGGTTTGGAATCAGCTTGTTATGGCAAAGAAGTAAGCGGAAAGAAATCAAATACAAGAATTATGAACATGGTTATGACATTAACTACGATAGTGATTAGAAAAAATAACCAGCAGAGGATCCTATCGACTCTGAGAATGATGTGAACACATTGACTCGTCACCAGTGAAACAATTACATACTTTCTCTTCATTCTCGAAAGTAATCCCAAAGAGTCTGTGTGAGAGCCGAGGATGTTGCTATTCTGTTGTCAATGGTAATAATGATTCTAACTGGTAAACAAAAATTAATAACTGACCTCAATAATTGTAGATGTTTAACGTTGGGAATCACTTAATATCACAAAGGGTTTAATTGATACAGATTGACTGCTGGCATTTTTATTGAATAAAATAAAATATGAGGACTTGGCTTGTGTGTATAAGGGTACCATCAAAAGGGTTATATCGATGTTAACGTTAAAATATATTAAAAACCATACAGTACAGGCAACACACGTTGTTTCCAAATACCTTTGTGTCGGTAGACACTGAGTATGGCGCGATCATACAATAGTAGATTTATATTAAACTAGCTTTTGCCTGCGACTTCGTCCGCGTGGAATAGTGACTTCCGGCAGAAAAGTATAGTTAGCTGTGCCCGCGACTCCGTCAGCGTGTAACTCCTTGTGTATTAATTTAATGAATGGAGTAACTTCTCCCGTTTTTGCAATATTTCCCTTCACTGCTCTGCTCCTATTGATCGTAGCATAATGAAAAGTATACTATAACCTGCCCAAGAGTATAAAAAATACTTGTGCCAAATTTCGTTAAAATCCGTCGAGTAGTTTTTGTTTCCATAACGAACATACAGACAGACAGACAGACAGACAAAAATTTTACTGATTGCATTTTTGGCATCAGTAGCGATCCCTAACCACCCCTTGATAGTTATTTTTTAAATATATTTTATGTACAGAATTGACCTCTCTACAGATTTATTATAAGTATAGATTACCACCACCGAGGGTTTAATCGATCTATAACCTTACTATATATATGTAACTACTTCATAGACTAATAATATAACGCAGTCAACTTGCAACAAGGGCTTACATAAGAAAGTAATGGTTTGTATGCGTACCTGTATGCTGAGGTGAATGCTGCTTTGGTGAGCTCATATCTGGAGGATCATCGCTAAATGATACTGATTTCTCAAATGAGACAGATTTTTCTGAAATAACAAATGTTAATTTGGTCAGTGCATGTTCAGTGTTTCAGTCTGAATTATTCGTAAATCTTTCACGATGCATTAATGTTACCAAAACCTATGATGAACCACAAGGACAGTCTGTACATAAAAGTGAATCATTCTGAGTCGGTGGCTGAGTGCATATTATTGATTTCAGAGATAGTTTTGTGAATGAATTTAAAAAGGTAGTGGTCAATTCAGTAGTATTGAGTGGTGTTGAGTGTGTAAAAAGAAATTAAAATACAAATTCAAGTGCAAAAATATCAAAAGGGGATTTGTACATGTGGAATTTTGTAAATAAAATAAAACAGTCCAATTCAAATTGAAAAATAACATTCGGTGTATATTCATTCTTTATTCTGGGACAAAATAAGTGGATCGAAACCATAACACTGTACAATAAAGAGCTCATTAATCCAAACATTACATACTAAAGACACAAACAATAAATACAACTCAGAAAACTGCGAATTCTACAAAATTAACAGAACGACATGTGATTAGTGAGCAGAGTTGACATTTCCGCGCGTACCACGAGACGATGGCTGGCTACAACTACCATACATACTGGCGCGCCTCATAATCAATCCCAGCAATTATTGAATCTACGTAGGAAAGCCTTTACTACCTGATTGCTCATGAAACTCATCATTTCGATGGGCAGAATAGCTGATTTTGTCAAAATTCACAATGTACAATGTATTAGGTAGATGAAATGACGAATTATTCAAAACGAAGGTATAATACAAGACAGATGCACTTGAGCCTAATTTTTTTATTAGAAAGCTGAAATAAGAACAGTACCACTCGATTTAGCAAGCAAGCGATCGGCGTGATAATGATTTAGTTCGCTAAATGCATTGCGAATGTCGTCAGTTTGTTGGACATTTGGCAGACAACTAGTCGAACACATTGACGGCGTGAAAGTGACGCTTTCCCTGTTTGACATGGTAAGATGTGCGGAAACATCTCATTGCCATAGCATTTACGCGGTTGGTAATGGAATGTGGTAGAACCCATAATTTGCGGTTTATTTTTCTCCATTACCTATGGCTTAGACGTGACGTCAAACGTTTGGGTTCCTAGGTATAGGAAATTGTAGAGAAACCACAATAAAGCGTCTTAACCTTTCAAACTTTTCTTAAATTGCTCTTTTCCTTGTAGCTGGTAATGGCTGTTTAAGTGTTCGCTTGTCTCGAAAGTTCTTTTTCCACTCGACACTAGCAATGCATTAGCGAAAACTCTTTAACCGCCTCCAATTACACTTACGAAATTTATCCCTGCCTAATTTAGGAGGTCTCTCGGTGCCGGTAAATCTTGCCGCATCTGAGTGCAGGAAAACGCAAGCTACATTAACTGATGAAGCTTTGAGTTACAAGCTACAAAGCCGTTTGTTCGGGCTAAGTAATTGAGAAAATCTATATAGGTAGATATATTGGACGAGTTATTTGATTTATTTACGCTTAGAAATCCGGTTCCTTTAATTTTTCCGCGGTTCATTTTCGTTCAGCGATGAATATTGTTTGACTGCATTTTGGTATTTATCAAAATTCAAATATTTTTCTTTCGGCGTCGGCTAGTCACAAAACAAGATTAGTCATGAATGTTTGGTAAGTGTTTATATTACTGCTCACCTTGCGCTGCTGGGCGCACGTGGTAGGGTTGATACTCAGCTCGCGGGGCGGCCGCCGCGGTGGGCACTGGTGGTTGGTTGGGGACCTGCAAGGCTTTTTGCACGAGTCCCGTCAAATTGGCCAGTTGCCTCTCCATCTTCTCAACGCGCAGACGTTGCATGTCATCCAATTGTGGCCTGCAAAATCATAATTAGAAATCCTGTCTATGCTTAGCTTAGATGCTTAGATACTCCTATTTATGGTATCCTTCATCTGTGTTCAAGTTAAGAAATCGCTTTTAGCAAAATCGCATCGCTATTGTTTTGATTGGAGAGAATAATATGAACTGATATTGTTTATAGATGTGTTGTGATTATTTGTATATTGTGGCCACAATATTGCATAGCAAATGGTTGTCACACAGTCGATTAATCAATGGGGAATTTGTACTGTATAAAAGTTGGCTAGCGATCTTATTGAATGTTTTTTTCACGAAACGACTGAAATTCGTTTTTCTCTAAGTTACCTGACATCGTACAGAGGGCGAGGCATCGGTCGCGGAGCACCAGCTATGGGGTTTCCATACATTTGGTACGCATCATCAATGATCACTGCATCCCTGAAAAATCCATACTACGTCTTAGAAGTAATAGGAAGCTTACAAACATGAAGCACCATTGACAGCCTACAGTGTGGCAATAACTTGACATGTTTTTAGGACTTGTGTTTTTTGTATACATCAACATTTTTCTAAAATGTCTGCTTACCCGGTCTCCTCATCAATGATGGGAGCAATGTTCGGCCTCCCAGCAGCAGTGCCGAGGTACTGGGAGTAGTAGGGGTCCTCGTAAGGAGTCCTGGCAGCCCCGCGTTCAGGGGATGACATGTACCCGTCGGCATGGCCTGTGCGGGCACAAAAACAATAATTCACCTTTGTTCCAAACCCATCGTCCTGTTCCCTTAAATATTTTATTTATATTTTAATATCAATATTTATAATATTTCAAGCAAAAATAGAATTATAATCAAAGCATGCGATTGTAATAAATATTTCTATGACGGTTTAATGCGAGTGCCTATTAGGCTATTGTAAATATAAAACGAGTAGCTCATACAATACCTTTTGTGCCAAATAACTCGGACCTTTTACAACAGACTCAGAATCCATAATACGATTGTGAAAGAACACACTAAAAAGGAATTAAAAACGACGAAGCATCTGAGGGCACGCGGGTGGTTGGACATAGAGAAATTTCGAAAAGTTTTATTCACATTCACAACGTGTATACAAACGAAAGTTAATCTTTTGAAAGGTGTAGACAATTAGAATTTTACGAATAATAGATTATAGAAATTAATAAGGTGCGTTCGATAGCGCAATGTTTAATTTGATTAGTTGTAAGCATTGGCAAATTAAGGTTTAGAAGCGAAAGTGATGTGTTTGGTAGGGCGAGGGCCTGGTTACCGGGGATCGTGTACAGTTGTTCGGGGCCCCGAGTGCAATCGGCCGCAGCGAAGGGGAAACAGCGTTCTGACCCACTCCCTGGGATGTACGTGCGCAACGGCTTGGCCGGCGCAGTAGGACCTACAAACATCGCTTTTACCTAACTTAGACACCCCGAAATAGTCCCGGATTTTCTATAACCGCTACTTTCTTCGTGTTTTTTACGGCTTTAGGGCAAACAAACCACTCTGATGGTTTGCGATTATCGACCTTTGGACCCTCGTAACATTAAACGCTCTTTTCTTGATGGTTTAACGTCGGGTAGGTTTGGATCGCAAGCGACAGCGTATTCCACACTTTTGTCGTGCGAGGCACTAAATTCTAGAGACACGTAGTTGCTTCAAAATCACACGACGTTTCTAGTTCATTCGAAGAAATGAAACTAAATCAAATTGAAACATTTTGTCGAGTATTCATTAAAAACTGTGTCCTTCTTGCGTTTTAATTGCTGCTTTTTATAAAGTTTATAAAATTGGTATGTAACATTAGCCTTGAATTCTCACCTGAGGCGGAATGGGATTTTACACGGTCAGCGGGCACGGGCGGGGCGGCCGGCGAGTAGGCTCGGAGCATGGATCCCCCGCGCGGCAGCGTGCTCGGCTGCTGCCCACCGATGTAGTAAGCGGGTGCCTTTACCTATAACAAACAAAATAAACCATTATTAACACTGAATTGTATTTATTTAAGCAAAATTATAAAGTAGTCTTCATTTTAAGTGAATACGGTGCAAAATTGAACTTTCACACATAAATGACAAGGGCACAATATTGTCAAGGGCACAACACGCTGGTCTTAAACTTGAATTATTAAGTATGGCGAAAAAGAAATAATTGTTTTGTACAGGTATAGGGTGGCGCATATCCGAAAATTGAAACCCATTGAAATATGTATACTTCGTTCCTCCCCGTATTTGAATCCGATACTACTTGGAGACGACTAACCGGGAGTCCACACACATAATTCATCATCAACAGCCTCTTTCGTCCACTGCTGGACATAACGCCTCTCCAATAGTACATCACTGAGCTCGATCTTCAGCTCTACGCATCCAACCACTCACTAGAGCCACTGTCACTCCACCTAGCTAGAGGACGCCCTGCATTACGTTTGCCTAGACGCGGTCTCCACTCCAGAACACGTCTACCCCAACGGTCATCGGTTCTTCAACAAATGTAACCGGCCCATTGCCATTTCAGCTTGCTAATCCTTTGGGCTACATCGGTAAGTTTAGTTCTCTGTCGGATCACCTCGTTACGGATCCTATCCTTCAGAGAGACTCCGAGCATAGCCCTCTCCATAGCTCGCTGCACCACAAATAATACTTTTAAATAAACTAACTTCAAACTATCAATTCAAACTTTAAAGTCATATAATCAAACGGCTCATAACATAAATATATAATCGATATTCCAAATAAATCTGTGAAAATTAACGAACATTATTACCGCAGCCGATTAATTAGGATTAAGCGTTAATCCTTAATAATTAAGGCGCCCCGCCGATAGTAGCCACATCAAATTGACGATATCATTATTGTATTGTATTTATAATATCATTATTAAATAAACTTAATAATTACTATTACATTTTAATGGTTTTTGAAATGATTTAGGATGTATGTGGATTTGTAGCGAGAATTATAAAAATTTAGTAAATGAAAAGATAATTGTGCTTTAAAATACATACATTTTGAAGTGTTTTTTGATTGTTCTTTGAAGTCTGATGGCTACATTATAATATGATACACTCGCTACAAAATTTAAAGCGATAATGTGTGTTCCTACAGTACGAATAAAAAACACACTATAATAATTTCCCATAGTACCAAATCACCGATGAATACATTGACACAACGTTTGTATACAAAATAATTATAATATTTTGTATAAATAGATAACCTGTTCATAAATTTTAATATTTTTATAGCTTTTGTGGCTGCTCAAAAATTCCTAGCGGTCCGATAGTTCATCTCTACTGACTGTAGAAAAAATGGAATCATATATACTTTGATAATGTGGGTATAAATGTTATTTTAAATGTACTTCGTTAAATCCTTTTTTGATGAAATTTTCAATTAAAATTAATGTAATGTTAATTAACTGTATAAAAATAACAAAACATATAAACAAGTCAAATACGGTCAAATTATTTTAAGTTAGGATAACATTAAATGTAGTATTTGATGTATTAAAAAAATTGTAACATTGTTTTTGAACCATAAACAAATAATTAAAGAGATTAAATGTTAGTTTCAAATTCATGACGAATTATTAAGACATTGGAAGATAATATTAATGAATGGATCTTGATTCATTGATAATAGTCAAACAACGTATAGTGTTTAGTATTGCGCACGTGGTAAACATTTTAAACATGTATACTGATAGACTTGCACTGGTGTGAGAGGAATTCGCTAAGATTTTAAGTCTACTCTTTCAGATTGCGACCCACGACTGAAGGTTAAGGAAGGAAAAGGCCAGGCTGCAGGAGAAGATTCTGGTTTTGTGACCAGTGCACACCGCAGTTCTGGGCAACAGCGGTTACTAGTAAACTGCACTTGTCTGAATGATCCCTAACCTCCGTTACCAGATGGCAACATAAGAAGAAGATTAAGACTTAGTGAACTTCGTCTTCATGAGATAGTGGCAAAAGTACAGACAGATTACCTGTTTGCAGTGCCGGTTCTAAAAAGGAGTACGCTCAACTCTTGAAGGTTTGAAGGTCGAATCGGTTTGGAAATACCACATGCGACACTTTAATTGAGAGTTTTACTCCCGAAGTATGACTGTCAACTTCGGCAATGCCTTTGTCCCAGACTAAATCAACATCTAAACATTTACATTTTAAAGATATAAACACAACATGACATGTGTCATTGTGTTAACTCAACTTGTATATTATTATTATAATATTTGTATTATTATTTACGAGTTCAATTATCAACATTGTTTTGTGGTTTACAAACATCATAGCGACGTATTGACATTCAACTGCAACGGCAGGCCTCAGTCTACCGCTTGTTTCACAAAAGAAAGCACATCTGCCTTGAATGGGAGATTATCAACAGATTCAGATACGTTGAGAAGAACGGTTGACAATAGGAACTTCAGAAATATAATATGTATTGTGTTTCTTCTGTACCATTGTATCTTCATGTGACATCTCGGACATCGAAGTATTAACATAGTTTAGTTATTTTTAATCAATATTAATAATGATGTGGTTATATTTAATTGTGGTATTGAGTGTTATTCGCACTGGTTTGTCGATCAACAGGCCTGTGTATAAAATTGTGCTCAAACAAAAAGGATATGCGCAGGTTAGTCAGTGTTGCGTTCTGTTTAAAAATGTTGTTATTGTCAATAAATGAAAGTGGTTGCCTTGCGAATTCCGTACATTCAAAGCAATTGTGCAGTGAAATGAGGGTTTGCGGTAAAATTTACGTTTTGAATGAACTTCCAGTTTCTGCAATACGACATTGAGACTCCCCCGCTGAGAGAATTCACGATATGCACTTGGATCCGTGTGTACGAGCTGAGCGGGGACCAGAGCATATTCACATACGTCGGTGAGTGGCTGTAGATAAGAATGGACTGTTCCAACTGAAGTATTTTTTTATTATTTAGTAAGGTCGGCAAAAAAGTTGTCCACGTGAAAGTAAACCACTTTTGGTGAAATCACAGAATCAAAGTAATGAGCAAATAAAGATTGCGTTAACATAATTAAATTGACCCCCTTAACTGAACTTGCTTGCAGGACCAGTGTTGCGTAACTTTGGCATTTTTTGTGTCTATGTCTAGGTGGGACCGCCTTGTTAGGATTGGTCGCAAGGGCGATTGGCTGATAGCGCGGCCGTCGGTTCAGTTATCTGTTAAGAAAAAGCTCTTAAATATATAAGACATTATCAACACTTCAAACATTTTATGTATCTGTACTCACAGTTAATTAATCTATTATTATAATATCCCATTTTCAAAATACAGTAAATGCTACCTTAGATTTCAATGTGCCATTTCCAACTACATAGAAATAGAGATACGTAGCGTAGTAACACAAGATATTTGTGGTTTCTGCATGGTTATGTAACATTCACCATTTTGCTACTAATTGATCCAGTCGTGGAGTATCCCAGTCTGCGTGCTCGTTAACCACTGTCGGGTTTTACACTACAATAAACAGACTAGGGTGACTATGTCTTAGCTTTTTATTTTTATACGCTTAATAAAATTTTCATTGTTTTGTTATCACCAAAACTTTGTAACATGATAACGTACGATTTATTTCAACACCTAAGGCCGTATAAGTCCTTCTCTAATTAGTTGTTGAATGTAAAACTAGCGGTGTTAATAGGCCTAAATATTCTAGAATAAAATCAAATGTTCATGATAAACAAAAATTTCGTAACACACACACATTAAATGCGCGTGATTAGGGCTAAAATGGAGACATACATAATTTATGTGCACTCGATAGACGACTTCACGGTCTAATAAATGTTTTTTTAACAAAGTATTAATGCAACTTGATATACGTTTTAGCGAATGGCAACAACCGTGTTGTAAGGTTGTGGTTGGACTCAGGAGGGAAGCACATTAACGTGTCGATCAATGGCAAGGTGACGTCCAGCACAGCTGTGGACATCACGAAGGACGTTTGGCGGCACATCTGTTTGTCCTACCAAGCGGACTTCGGAGCGTGGGCACTCTACGTCGACTCCCGCCTCCTCTCCTGTCAGGCATCACAGAGCGTAAGTAAATTATAATCGTTAAAGACTGTAGCTACACATTATAAACAAGAATTCAATGTTATAAATAAAGGTCACGATCCACTCAGTATGTGATCACGAAAATGCATGTACAAATTAGTCAGCCGAAAGACAAATGACCGCAGAGCTTTATCCGGATGGCTGAGGTCACTTCGGCCACGATTTAGCATATAGATAAAACATGTGATAAATCGACATAGACATATTACGAAACTAGAGCTCCAGACAAGGCTGACGCTAGTATCCATGAAGAGACAGTTCCATCAGAAGTATAACGATTACCCGAGGCTAGTTAATACCTTGTTAGGTAACCGGTCCACCACTTCGAATATTTATTGTGCTTGAAAGGTTCCTTAAATCTTACAATGTTTTTTCAGCTCCTTGGATACGTGTTACCCCATGGTGGCAGCGTGATTATTGGATATGGAACAGCAGAAAATGGTTAGTCATTTTTAAATTGGTAAATTAGTAAAACAAATTAAATTCATCGACAATATTAAAACTATTCATTCTCAATTACAGGTTCACCGAATGGATTGGAAGGTGAAATATTTGGAACAAACATGATATTGGCATCCACTATAGAAAGAAATTACACTATACGAAATGACCCTCACTACGCACAAAAAAAGTTTCGTCAAAACAAAATGAAAAGTAGCAGCCCTCACTTGAACTATATTGTTTTAAGCGATTTACAGACTGGTGAACTTAAAAATAATTTTGAAACTACGCAAGTACCAACAACAAATGCTACGAAAAGTTTCATAAGATTTAGAACACCACACAGCTTTGTTGATCACGCTGTTGGATTAGATGTTACTACAAAAAGTACTCCTGTATCAATCGTACCTAAAGATTTTTTGGGATTCCC